CCCACCATCTCACAATTGTATGTGTGTGGAGTGATATCTATGTGAGTCAGTCCGTTTATCAGACTTCCGCTGCATATATGCTCATCCTACATTGGTTGATCTTTGGTTCTGCCCATACTCATTGAAGTATGTAACAGTTTTGGTATCGGAGCAGACCAGTTTACGGATCTGCTCACCAGGTAAGTCTGATTTAGGAATTAGATTGCTTCTTCAATCTTCCAAATCAGCGCTGTATTACTACCAAGTTCAAAGTTGCAAAAAATTTTCTTTTTCGGGTATTCTACTTATTTCGGCATTTCCGTTTTATTGTGGTATTCGGACTTATAATTCGGATTTCTGTTTTATTCCGGTATGCTGTTTATTTAGGTTCCGATTAATTGATACTAATCCGATAATTTGTTAGGATCGGATTTCTGATTTGAAAACGTTATTAGGGTTGAATCAGTATCCTGTTGAAATTCGGCATTCTGATTTCCAGTCAGCAGTCCGTTTTTAACTTCGGCATTCTGTTGTAAATCCTATATTTCGTTTTTCTTTTAGTTTTTCCTTCAGTATTGGAAATTAGGGTTACGAATTTTTGGTTGTTTGATCAACTTGGGAATTTCGAACGTTTTGGAACCGTAATACCAGAAATTCCGCGAAAACGCGGAAAATTAGGGTTGGGCCCGAAATTTTCGCAAGATTTTTTTTCTTTCCCCTTGTTGGAGAAATTCCGAAAACGGATTTAGGCCTTTAAAAATCGGATTTTGACGGTGGAAATTCCCGAAATTTCACGTTTTTGAAATTCGAGTGTTTGTTTCTCCGGATTTTTCCGAAATTTTTGCTGGCAAATTATTCCGAATCTGACCCTCACATTGCAACTTCCGGGTAGTTCACTAATTAACGGTGAACTCCCGGACCATAATTGATCTCAAAGAGACCTAATCTTAATACAATTCAAATTCGTTCATTATCATTATTACAAATATTGTTTATTGATTATCATCAATAAATCTTTAGTGCAAACATTGTTTATTGATTATCATTAAGGGATTTTATTGCATTATTAATCATTAATTAATTTTGTTGATTAAATAATTCGTTATTATTTCTTCTTATTACGAATTTTTGGAATTGTTTACGGGAAATTATTTTTTTCTGTTTTGATTAGGTGTCTACAGTCCATCAGTGGGACAGGGGACAGTATGCGTATTGTTTGATTGTTCTACCCCTGTTCCCACTCTCCCTACCTCCCTGTACTCTGTGACCACCGGGACCTCTCAAGTACCACATCAGTGCACACTGATGTCAATGGAACAGGACACCGGGGCACTGCCACGACGCAGTGCCAGGCTTGCAGTTCGTGCCCGACCTGTGGTACCTCCAAGACCCAAGCAGCGACTCAGCAAGCGGAAGACTCCAGCAGCATCAAGTACAGCAATGACAGTACCGGTTAGCACCGGGGTTCTTCCCGCATGCCCGGTCCAAGGGGCCGGTGAGCCGTTGGCAGCTTACCTTCAGCGGGTACAGGCATTCACAGATGCCGTAGCTACCGCAAAGGCACAGGAGGAGGCAGCAGAGGCGGAACGTCAGCGGCTGGCCAATGAGGCGGCAGCCCAAGCTCAACACACTGCTGAGGCTGACGCAGCAGCACGAGACCAACGGAATGCCAGCAGCACGGAGTCCCTGATTCATAGTGAGAATCAGTGGACAATGTTTCTCCAAGGCATGATCTTTCTGCCTTCGGACGCGCAGGCAGATCCGACACCGGCGGAGGCAGAGAAGACTCACCTGGCTAACTTGATGCTGGGCATGATGAGAGGAATCATGTGGAATAACACACTGCTGCAGGCACATCTGCGCACGGAACAACAGCAAAGACAGAAGTACCAGCAAGACATTGCTGTTTTAACAGCTGCCATCCGTGCCGAAGCTTCACAGCAGCAGCAACAGCATCAGCTGTTGAACTCCGCTCTCGCACGCATCAACAACATTGAGGCTAATGCCACAGCAGCGCTAGGCTGCACGATGGACGCGACGAAGCAGCTTAACGAGCGCATCGATCACGTCGTCACTATCATCGGCGATATAGGCGATTTCACTATCCCGGCCACAATCAGCAGCACGGTGGCCGCAGTCAAGACGGACATCACCAAGCTGCAGACGAGACCGGACGCCGCTACGAAGACTTACAAGATGCCGCACTTCGACATCAGCAAGTTCGACGACTACAACAAGTCGGACGCCTTGGCATGGTGGCAACGTTTCCTCACGGAAGCATCATGCCGCACTGTCCCGGCGGACGACATGATGAAGGCGCTCTACTTACAACTGATTGGAGGAGGGCATGCATGGATGAACCATCTGGCGGCTACCAAGAAATGCACCATCGCCGAACCCCACACGCACATTCCGTGGAAGGAGTTCGAGAAGCTATGGCTCACCCGGTTCATGGTTCGCAATGTCATGAACGCAGCCATGAACGAGGTGTACACCTGCTCTCAAGGGAGTATGCCAACTCGAGACTGGACAACCAAGTGGCAGAAGATAGTGACCACGCCAGGCTTCGATTTGAGCTTTACCAATCAGCGATCCGAGTTCTTCTCGCGATCGTGCGCAGGATTGCGGTCGGCACTCGGCAACGAGTACGATTATGATTCATTCCAGGCCATTCTGGATCGTGCGAACTTAGTCATCCAAACGGATGACAAGGCCGCAAACGAACGGCAGTCCCAACCGCATTATGTGGCTAAGCAGGGCTATCAACGACCGACACATAACAATGTCGTGATTTCTGAAGAAACAGTCGATCTCCACGCTGCAGCAGCATCCTCGAGTGATGGAAGAATTGTAGCAGCGCTCCCGCCGAAGCGTCCCAAGAGAGTTCGGAAGAACAAGGCGACACAAGAGACGGCATCAATGGTAACTGTGCAGCAGCCATGGACGACTTACAAGATAACCAAGGATGTCTATGACCTTCGTCAAAAGTACAGATACTGCCTTTGGTGCAACGGCGTCACTCATTTGACCGCACAATGCCCCGAAAAGGGCAAGGCACGCGTACCCCGTTCAGCAAACTCGGGAAACTGAGTTACGCAAGGAGAGGGGCGACGTCTCTCCTCACTCCGCCGGAACCGGTTGCCTTGCTAGCAATCGATGTCACTACCGGGGAGCATGCGTTAGTCGCTGATTCTCGTGCTACGTACGAGGGTTATGCCGCCCAACTGGTACCACCACTAGACCAGCCGAGCCACGTGCAATTAAATTGTGTATGCGCAGCCTGTACACCGTCGACAAGTGATCCGGTCAGTTCGCCACTGATTTTCGAGGACTCGATGGCGTGGTCAAGACTTGAGGAGCTTGACCCGCTCACGAGAGAGGACTTCGCTTGGATGCCTCTACCCTCGACCGGAACCTTGCCAAGGCCGCATTGCAACGCCTTAGTGGCAAATTTACGCTCCTAATTGCACACTACAGTACCAGCTCCGTTGACGGACGACGGGGTAGTGGTTGTCGATCTCCGCTCCTATCTTGCGGAGATTGACCGCAAGTACGCCACCCAAAGGTACGCCGAAACCGACGCTCCTTTGCTCTATATCCGCATTCAAATCGGAAAGGCAACCTGTAGTGCCTTGATTGATTGTGGAGCGTCTCGCAAGTTTATGAGCCAAGCCTTTATGGCCCGCGCAGGTCTTGGCCCGCACGTTCGAAGGAAGACGCAACCTACGCAAGTTACACTCGCGGACGGCTGCACGCAAAAGTCAATTGACCGATGCGTCGACGGCGTTCCGGTATACTTTGCGCCACTTGCGTGTGAGTCAGTGTCTTTTGACATCCTCGACACCAAGTTCGACATGATTCTAGGCATGTCTTGGTTGCGTAGCGCCGATCATCCGATGAACTTTCAGGACCGAACCATTCACATCCGTGATCGGAACGGAGTGTTAGTCCCATGTACGGTCGCGACCGCTCACACTTCGATTGCTTGTCACGTGGTTTCCGTTGCGAGAATTCGCGCCGCCATAGCTAGGAATGACGTCGAGGAGATGGGCCTTGCATTGTTGCATGCCCTCCCCTCGCCGGACGGACCAGCCGCGTCACCGCCAGACCCACGCATCACTCACCTCTTGGACAAGTATGGAGACGTCTTCGAGGCGCCCACCGGAAAGGTTTCGGATCGGCCCATACGTCAGGAGATCACTCTCGAGGCTGGCGCCGTCCGTCCGCGTGGATGTATCTACCGCATGAGCGAAGAGGGACTCGAGGTGCTTCGTGCACAACTCGATGACCTTCTCAACAAGGGCTGGATTCGCCGTAGTTGCTCGCCATACGGTGCACCTGTTCTCTTCGCCTGGAAGAAGAACAAAGATCTACCGTTATGCATCGACTATCGCAAACTTAACTCACAAACCGTAAACAACGCTGACCCTCTCCCTCGGATTGATGATCTCCTTGAGCGGTTAGGCGGCGCGACGTACTTCTCGAAGTTGGACTTGAAGTCAGGCTACCACCAGATTGAAATCCAACCTCAAGATCGGTACAGGACCGCGTTCAAGACGCTGTACGGGCATTTTGAGTGGGTTGTCATGCCCTTTGGCCTCACCAATGCCCCCGCAACTTTTCAAGCAGCTATGACGACTGAGTTTCGCGACTTGCTCGATCGCAGCGTCCTCATCTACCTCGATGAGATCTTGGTCTATAGCAGTACGTTGGACGAGCACATCACACACCTTCGCGCTGTTTTGAATCGTTTGCGACTGGCCAAGTACAAAGCGAACCGCGACAAGTGCGAGTTCGCCAAGCAAGAGCTTGAGTATTTGGGCCAGTATGTTACGCCGAAAGGCATTCGTCCCTTAGCGGACAAGATCCAAGCCATCATGGATTGGCCGGAACCCCGTTGTAGGACGGATGTACACTCTTTCTTGGATTTGGCCGGATACTATCAGCGATTCGTCGAGTCATACTCGAAAGTGGCCGCTCCTTTGTCGAGACTTCAGTCCCCGAAGGTGCCCTTCGAGTTCGACGACGCAGTCCGTGGCGCGTTCACGACGTTGAAGGCAGCAATGCAAGCCGCACCTGCCCTCCGTATATATGACCCCACCCTACCCACCCAAGTGACTACGGACGCTTCGGGATACGGKATTGGTGCGGTGTTGGAACAGTGTCACGAGGACGGTTGGCATCCGGTCGAGTATTTCTCCCAAAAGGTACCTCTCGTCAACACTCTCGACGACGCTAGGAAGAAAGAGCTACTCGCGTTGAGAAAGGTGGCGCCACTTTCTTCTCGGCCGTCGACATTGCAAATGGAATACGGAAAACAATCCGTTGACCTTTTACAAAACGCAGGACACGGTCACTAGCACGATCGGTCGATGGATGTATTACATTGACCAGTTCGATTTTGACCCGTGCCACATTCCCGGTCCCGCCAATCGAGCTGCGGATGCCCTCTCACGACGGCCCGACTTTTGTGCCATTGTGACCATGGCATTCGACCTCGATGACGATCTGCAGCCGCATTTCGTCAAAGGCTACAAGTCCGATCCGACTTACTCTACGCTATATGCAGAGCTCTCATCGGATCACCCGCTAGCTAGCCACTATCGGATTTCCGACGGGTTCCTTCTCCTTCACACGAGAGGAAAGGACTTGTTAGTTGTGCCCCAAGATCGCATCTTACAGACTCGTCTTGTCGGCGAATTCCACGACGCACGACTTTCGGCACACCTTGGCGTAAACCGCACATTAGCACGCCTCCGCCAGCGTTTTCACTGGCCCAACGTCCTTCATGACGTCACGAGGTACGTTGAGTCATGTGCAGTTTGCCACCGTAACAAGGGTCGATCTCGAATCCCCTTCGGCGAACTGAAACCGTCGCCGAATCCTCAGGCACCGCGCCTCTCCATTGTTATGGACGTGACAGGCCCGTTCCCCCGCGATCGCCACGGCCATGACGGTATTCTCACGGTCGTTGACCGTTTGAGCAAGTATGCTCGCTTCCTTCCTTGCAAGTATCATGCTGCAGCACCCGAGCTCGCACGACTCTTGCACACCGGTTGGATTACCAACCAAGGTGTTCCGGAAGACATAGTGAGCGATCGAGATACTCGCTTCATGTCCACCTTTTGGACTTCCCTCATGGCTGAGTCCGGTACGACTATGAAGCCGAGCTCGGCTCGGCACCCGCAGACGGATGGCCAGACGGAGCGAGCACACCAGACCGCTCAAGTGATGTTGCGTACGCTCATCCGTCCCGACCAGAAAGATTGGGTTGACCGGCTTCCAGACATTGAGTTCACCTATAACACTTCGGCGCACCCGATGATCTGCGTCACACCATTCGAGTTACATCATGCTGGAGAGAAAGCACGGATCTTCGCTGATCTCCTTTTGCCACAGGCTGCCGACATAGACGTCCCTCGCTCTCCCGCTTCCGTTCGGAAGTACTGGGACTTGTTGATCAAAGCCCGCGCAAATATGCAAAAGGCTCAGGTCCGCATGCAGCAGCAAGCTAACCGACGTCGACTTCCATGTCCTTTCCGCTAGGGAGACCTTGTTTGGGTCCTCTCCGAGGAATTTGCGCTCGAACAGGACGTTTCGCGCAAACTCCTTTCGAAATGGTTCGGACCATGGGAAGTCACTTCTGTCGTTGGAGACGACCCCGCAGGTCCTTCCTTCGTGATCAACATTCCACCGCACCTTACAGTGCATCGGGTCTTCCACGTGTCGAGCTGGCCATCTACACGCCACCTTCAGCTGACGACTTTCCCGGACGTCGATCACAGGATCCGCCTTCTATGGACGGACATCAGGAAGTTGACCGAGTCATCACGCACCGCAAGTATGGCAACAAGCCAATGCAGTACAAAGTCACATTCAAGCAATGTGCGCCTGACGACACTCGGTGGATCTCTAGTGCAGACTTGCAGACTTCTGCACCCCTTATCTTTCGCCAACTACGAGAAGACACGACTTGCCAAGGCAGCAGCTCGTCCCACCCGACCCATCCCCGAATCGGACAGACAACTCCGCCCTCGCAAGTAGCTCGGTCTTTTAAGAGGGGGAGTGTGTTACATCTTCGACGCCACACGGGTCCTACCGGACCCGACTTAGGGCTAGAGGGACAAAGGCCCGACCTTGGGGGTACTACAGGCCGTAAAGGCCTTACCTTGGACCAGACCCGACGGGCAGGCCCAAACGACATTACCGTTTGGGCCTGGCGGCGCTCTTGAGGCTGCCGCCCGCCGGTTTGGGCTGAACCGTCCATCTTGACGGTTCAGGGCACGGCCAGGCCTCGCAGCATTGAGGCCGGCCTCTGCCCCACCGGTACAAAAGTACCGGTCCAGCCTCATTGAGGCTATCGACCCACCGGCACTCTAACGGTGCGGTATGGTATGACGCAAATCAGCGCTGGCGCTAAGTTTAGCGCAGGAGCAGCGAGGAGCAGCGCAGCGCAGCATTAGCGCAGCAGCAGCGAGCGGAGCAGCAGCAGCGGCGACTGGGCGTATCGGTGGCCATAGCCGCCTGAGGTATCGGGAGTCGGAGGCGTCTCTCCTCCCTCCCATCGCCAGTCCCCTCTCTCTCTCTCTCCTCCTCGGCTCCCTTCGTCTTCTTCTTCTTCTCTTCAGACTCCATCTTCTTCTTCTTCTTCTTCTTCTTCTTCTTCTTCTTCTTCTTCTTCTTCAGATGGGAGACTTATACTAGTTGGACAGAGATCATAGTTGGACTTCGGTGCTAAGAGGCTGTGGTACTTACCGGATTCGAGACTTGGAGATTGTTGGGGATGATACTCGGCTGCATCACAGATTTGACACCGGTTACATTAGGACTCTGTATCTCCGACATTGGTGACTTATTGTCCTC